AGCTTTCGGGAATGAGAAATAAGATTAAAAATATATTACTGTCATATTTCTAGAAATATAAGAAATCATGAACTCACTGAGGGTTTTCTTCAATGTCCATCTTCATGTTCATTCCTGGTGGTGCGAACAGATCTTCCTCGACCATTCCTTTCTGTGGGACAAAGTCTATCTCTGCCTGCAAAACAAACAGTCACGTAAGTCAGGTAGACTTACTCAGCCTCAAGATGTATTTATTGCAATTTTTCGTTGTCACACAGTCTGTGATTTGTAGACAATCTTGTACATAATACAATAAGTTACCAACCAATTCTCGGAGCAAATACATGCGTACAGGTCATTCTTCACCTCCATGTATCATTAAGAGTCAGGGACGCTATGTCCTTTTCGTCCGTAAATCTGAGCAAAAACATAAATAAACTAGAAAGGCCAATATTTGCTTTGGAGCAAATACAGCGATGGGTTCACCACATTTTACGACATGGCAGGGAAAGAATGAGAAACACAAGGGAAAACAATGATTTACATTGATATAACTATAATATGAAGTAAAATACAACTAAAACAACAGTTGGATAGCTATTCCCTACTTTATTGGTTAGGATTTTTAATTGCATAATGCAAACTGCAACAAAAATTAAAAAAAAAACGTCCATGCCCCGCATTCCAATGCTGGAGCAGGAAAGCTTGAAATATCTACCAAAACACTTGAATACAGACATACTGTCAGTATGGAAATGCTCCTAGGGGTATTTGCCCACTGTACCTCCATACCAAATTTCAGGACCTTGGGCCCTAAAATGAAGAAGCTGAATCCATTTAAAAAATGGCAGGAGAAGGAGAAGAAGAAGAAACACCAGAAAAAGCAATATGGTTTCACCACACCACGAAGTGGTGTGGTGAACCACGAAGTGGTGTGGTGAACCCATAACAAGAAAACCAATTCAAGCAAAAATTTACTTTAAAGACTTTTTCTGAAAATACCTTTATCTCGTTTTCTTCGCCACCTCCATCTCCACCGCCATCTTCCCCACCTTCTTCTTTCTTGTCGTGGTCGTGTTCAACTGTAACAGAGCATGGGGAGAGCCGTGACTGTTTGCCTGGTGTCCTGCCTGTGAGCGAGACTAGTATCGGGCCGTTATGGGGGAGGGGGGGGGGCTAGTTACTAGGCGGGCGAAGGACTCCGTTGACTGCCGAAGGAAAACGGCTAACGGCCCGATACTAGTCTTGCTCTCAGGGTAATCATGGGTAAGGTCGGAACTGGCTAAAGGCCTGACATCCAGTCTGGCTCCCAGGGTAGATCGTGGTTCCTACAGGCGTAAAGCGATAGGATCTGTATCAATAAGCTCAATCATGCGTGTTACATAATAAATAATGCATGGACAGATAACGTTGCTGTGATAATGATGATATAAGTGATAATAAGAGATCGACAATAGCCTGTTCACCAGTTTCTTAGAGGGTGGAAAAAAAGGAGCCTTTAGTTAGCTTTACGGCGGGCAATCAGCATTTCATATCTACCATGACCTTAATATGATGATACATTATATGTCTTGATTTCATTATTTACCTTTATCAAGTAACTGGCTTATCGTCTGCTGCGCCACGTTTTTCTCAATTTCTGCAGTCACCTCTGCCTCTTTTTGCACACTGTCTGCCATGATGTCCGGCGCCATGTTCTTCATAGAGCCCAGTTTCTGAACCGTGTCTGTCAGTTTATCTGTGTCGACTGAATCAGCCTTGGCTGTACATGTACAGGATGAAAGAAGCATAGGATTGTTTAGTCAACATTCACCGGGGACTGTTGTGCTTAAACATGTTAATGATTTGAGGTGAATACAGGATACTAAGATCAAAGAAATATTATTTATAATCATAACTGTTAGAGAAACTCACATAAAATGTTTCCAGCAAGGTTTGCTATGGCCGGTATGAAGCGTTTGTTTTTCTCGTAAGCAGGAGCGTCTTCAGCTGATGCTGCTCGCATGGCCTCCTGAAGGTCTGACGGCAATACTGGAGGGAAAACAATAAAGACTTACATCAAACTAAGAAAGGAATACATAAAGAAACAAATATCAGCACCAGTTTATAAAGTCACTTACAAATCTGTTAAATCTGCATTATGTAACATTAGAATTAGTAACTGTTACACAAAGTTCTGGTCATTTCTTTACAGAGTGAGTCGAATCAACCCTACTCCATTGCAAATAAATAAGTGCTATTCAGGAAGTAGAGGTGCCAAAATCTGCCGCCTTACCCACAGCTGTCGACCTTGTTTGTTTAAATTCTGGTAGTTTGTGGTGGCACCACAAACTCCGTTTGCCTTCCATTTATCATTTGTTTCAGAATGCCCACTTTAAATGCAGTGCTGCCACCAGTGGTTCCTTATACAAGCTTCTAACATGGAAGTCACTATAGACGTTTGTAAAGCTAAAAAAAATACATCTATGGTAGGAACCCAATCTGAATCTGACATTTAGAATATATTCAGGATCAATCCATCATCCAGAAACCATTTATCCAACTGTTGCACTGCAATACATACCTTCTAGATTTTACAGGTTTGGAGGGTCAATTATTTTTATTGTCTTCCACTTCTCTGTTTTCCTTTTGTGTTTGTACACAACCGTATTTCCTAACGCCAAGGAGCCGAGTCAAATCAGAAGCCTATCCATTAGTAGGTAAAGCAACAACAGCCTTACCTAAGGACCGTTTGATGACACGATGTCCCTGGTTTGATGATTCCTTCTTCGTAGACCCGGTCACGGCGAGGTACACTGCGACGGCCAGAATCATCACCAGGGGCAAGGCTACCCCCACTGCCTTCTTCATGTTGATGAACTGATGTGTGAAGAAAAAAGGGCACTGTTATTTAGACCTAGCTAAAAATGCAGTCAAACTTGCCCAAGCGACCACTTCCATAAACCGACCAAACCATAAGCTGGCCAAAACGACCGCTTATTCTAATCACTTCTCTCTGAGTATAAGAGCTATCTACCAGGATAGAAGGCGTGACCCTAACATGTACAGATATATCAGAACGTATCAAAGTATGTTGAAGTTCCACTGCAGTACCATAAAAAGCCATTGAGAGATTTGAAGATAGTTTATACATTATTTGTGACAAACAGGTGGTGGGAGCTAGCGTTCCACACTGAGTCCCATCGATAAGCATAGGGCACGGCAGTAGGTCGGTAGAGCGTATGTAATGTGCCTGCGTGAAACCCCGATTTTCCCGTTTTTCCTTGGATGTTTGGTAAGCATTGCATCAGAATTTCGCCCGTTGCAGACGGTGTCTTTTCTAGCCGACACAACATTTGAAAGGTATATAAAGGGTAACTCGAGATGCTGTGGATGGATCTTAAAAAAATTAGCAGGTGAGTCGGTTAAAGAAAAGAAATGTCAAGTCAAAGAATGGGCTTCTTAGCGGCTATATACGGCATTGCGGTTAACGTTGAGAATTCAAAGATTTTGAGTTCAATTTCTGAAATTGCCATTGTCGAGATTTTTTGTGGTTTGTGGGTTTGGAGGCATAGAAGAAGTGGTATGAGTTTGAGCCTCCTAACGGCTTTTTTAATTAACTTAAGTGTAGTTTTTTTTAGGAAACTTGGCCCCATTGTACCCATGCAGTCAGCGTCTATTATCTAGGTTGACGATCTCTTGGTCGCGACATATCAGTTCCTCCGGCCTAATTGAGCCAGCTCCTCGGCACCCGCAGGGATGATGGTATCACGGGACCATGCCATGGAAACCAAAATGGCCGCCAGGCTAGCAACCTTTGTCTTCAAGAGAAAAAAGATAACCGCCCCAGAGTGATCAATCACACCATTAACCATATGTCAAACAAGAATGTTGGAAAAATCATATGAAAGATGTAATACAGAATCAGTATGTAACTTTTGAATTTACTTTTTCCTGGAGTTTTCCCAACAGCATGTTGGTATTTGTTAGCTAAGAGTACGTGTTTTTCCCACTGCAAATTTAGGTTGATAGTTTTTCGTAACAGGCAGTTTAGTATTGGGGACCAAGGAAACTGGCATACCAAAACACTATGTCTTCTCTTTGTTATCGCGGTTAGTTCCAACATGGCACAGCCTGAGGATTACAATTTGTTTTATTCTTTTAGCAGAAGATACTAGTATTAAAATGATATAAGAGGAAGAAGAGTGACGCGATGATATCTCAAATCAAAGTTAACCAACTTTGCTACAGCTAGATTGCATTTGTGTGTGTCGCTTTTAATGTTCCAGACCATCAACAAAAATCTTAGAAAGTATGGAATAGAACATATTTACTGATTTACCGATAATATCTCTAAAATAAATGGCGAACTGTGAAGAATTAGAAACTTGTGACAAATTCCAGTCGGTCGGTCAACCAAAATTAATCAACCAAAACGTTAAGGAATACAAGAGGACCCAGCACGTACTAGTACAGACAGACCCGATCGAAATGACTGATATATGCAAGAGTCAGTCTCTTCTCCTCATGAACTGATATACATGTACTAGTATCTGAAAAAGCAGGGACGGTACGACAAAAATGAGAACGGTGGAGATTACTACGACCTCACCATTCGAACGAGCAAAACTTCGAACGAAAATATAGCCTTACCCAGCAAAATGTCCATAATTTTATTAAAGCCACAAAAAATAAAGTTGTATCTCCATGTTCCTACCGCTAAAAACAGAAACCGCGGGAAACCGAGCTATGAACGTACTGATCAAAGGGTGAGCCGCCAGGCCGGTAAACAAAGGGCAGCTGCTGGCGAAACAAAGGTGTACAGCGGGCAGGTAATGCCGTGCGCTCTTCTCTTTACCACATATCTACGTTACAGAGCACATTGTCGACGTTTGATACCATAGTACACATACCACTGACGTGCTAGGTAGGTGTCGCATGAAAATAAAACCCGTTGCATAAGCTTACAAGACTCTCAGAACTACCAAGTCCCGTCGTGGTTGAAGGTAGCAAAACAGACGATGTTACCAACATGCCTGGGATGCACATGTTTGGCTTCAGGGTACAATCTGTCAAATATCTAAATATCTAAGGACTTTGGAGATTTGCGCGGGAGGCTAAAAAGTTCGTCGACGGTGTAACGCCAGCTCTAAACCAGCCCGGCTTTGAGCAGCTACAGCGCTGAAGACTCAACGTGGCAATCGGAAATCTACAAGCAGATTTCTTAGTGAGCAAGGGGAGTCTAATGGCAAGCTCGTAACCAGTTGGTCGTACGGCCGTATGGGCTGGACAATAGACTCCCATCGTTCCCGAAAAAAAATCTACGTCGAAGATAGCATTTTGGCAGGAAATACGTTCGAATGATTGGCAAAAACAAACACGCGCACACAAAAGGACAAACACAACAGAGAGCAACAACTGGGTTGATTGTCAATACAACATTCAGTACCCACCTGCTGTCTATAACTTGTCTTCTAGCACGACGGCTGTATGGTGAAGAAGGCAAGCACAGTGAAAACTACGACGTCCGTACTGCACAGCTTTTAAGAATACACGAACAGGATGCCAAGATAACCGCGTTAACAGATAAATAGTAATTATAACATCCGTCAAACATGTAAAGATTTTGGGGCCTTGCGTCAACTGTGTAACGCCGGCTTTATATTCGTAAAATAAGGAAGAAACAGACACCCCGGACCCTAAACGCTAAATCATTTTTGTATACGTGTTCTTATCTTATTTGCCCACTGCCAATTAAACTGTGCAAGGATCGGAGACGTATAATGTCCTATTGTCTCTGCAATGAGACAGAGACAGATATCCTAGACTATGGAATATAGATTATGTCGTATCATCTCTGCAATCTGCCTGACCGCCATTTTTGTATACGTGTCCTTATCGTATTTGCTGAATGATAATCAAACGGTGCAATGACGTCAATGTTTAATACCCTATTGTCTATCTGCAATGGTGGAGAAACAGGTATCCATCACACTGACTACCTCTGTCAATCAAAAATATTTTCGCTCCAGTTTTCGGTAATTGGGTTTTACACACGATTTACCTTTGATAATTCATCAGTTTTCTCATGAATGTTCTTATCTTGAATGTCATTATTTTCAATTTTACATCAAATTTACAAAAACGGGAAATTTATACACCAGTTAGTGTATTGGACCTGTGTAGTGGATTGAATTATGTGATGTAATGACCATAAAACGACAAAATGGAAGAAAACCCAGAGAACCAAAGTCATACTAGTAGAAATATGCGATCCCTTCGAAAATTATACGCAAGCGTAGGTCTTTCCTGCCTCAAGAACAGATATATTCTCCCAAAAGCAGGGACGGTAAGACAAAAATGAGAACGGTACTAATTAGTGCAATCTCCTTTGAACGAACACGTCTTAAACTGTCAAGAAAAAATATCAACTTACCAAGGAAAACATCCATAATTTTTTGACCACATAGAAATATAGCTGCATTTACATATTTCCATTGCTATTAAGCAGAGAGAAACTGCGATACGAACATATACTGATGAAAAGGTGAGCCGCCGGGCCTGTAAAACGATCTGCGAGCGTAACAGATTCGCACAGCCGACAGGTATAATGCCTTGCCCCTTCCTCTTGATACAAACAACTTTCTAGCTTACAGAGCACATGGTCGAAGTTTGATACCATAGATATACCGTATAGATATATAAAATGACACATGTTGCATACTTTTGAAGGACTATCAAAACTTTCAAATCCCGTCGTGGTTGAAGGTTGCAAAACTCATTATGTTACCCGTAAGCCTGGGACTCATGTGTTTGGCTTCAGGATACAATCCATCAAATATATATTTTCTTTAATGGAGGTTTGCACAGAAAGCTAAGAATTTATTTCGTCGACTGTGTAGTACCTGCTCTGCATCAGCCCGGCTTTGAGCACCTAATAAGGTAATAAGTCTACCGCGCCGACGACACCGTACTTGCTCTAAAATGGCAGTTGGTAATCTTCCTGGGCAAGGAGAGACTCTACTTAAATGTCGTGCACAGAAGAATCTCTCTTCAGTTTTCGCCAGCACTGCCCTGCACTACCTTGTGACTGAACTACTACAGTTACTGCCTAACGGGGATCGCCCATTTAGTACTGTGTTATGCGACCATGGGCGAACTTGACCTTGGATTTCTTTTTATTAAGTCGCCTAAACTAGACAAAGCATGGCCAAATTCTATTTCACAAATCCAAACGCTTGCTGAGATATCGCTCACTTTGCACCAAAGAGGCTGCCATACTTTGCCATTCATAAGGGTAGGCCTCTTACAAGGGCAAGGGGCTATTAATTAAATGGCCTCATTCAAAGTATTCAAATTATCTATCTAGATTATTCAAATTCACTAGTCTGGTCGTCGTCGTCTCTTCCTCTTTAACGGGGATTACCATTGCATACTCTAACGTTTTGAGAGATTTGAAGATAGTTTATACCTTATTTGTGACAGAAACAGGGGTGGGAGCGTTCCACACTAAATAATAAAGTCCCATCGATAAGCATAGGGGACGGCAGCAGGTCGGTAGAACGTATGTAATGTGCCTGCGTGAAACCTAGATTGTCCCGCTTTTCCTTGGATGTTTGGTAAGCATTGCATCAGAATTTCGCCCGTTGCAGACGATGTCTTTTCCGGCCGACACAACATTTGAAAGGTATATAAAGGGTAACTCGAGATGCTGTGGATGGATCGTGAAAAAAATTAGCAGGTGGGTCGGTGAAAGAAATGTCAAGTCAAAGAATGGGCTTCTTAGTGGCTATATACGGTATTGCGGTTAAAGTTGGGAATTCAAAAATTTTGAGTTCAATTTCTGGAAATGCCATGGTCGAGGTTTTATGTGGTTTGTA